TGGCTGAGCGTGGTGCTGACAACACCAAGCCAAGGGTTGAGATCCCCTTACCGGTCATCTTTATATAAAAAAAAAAAAGAGTGCAGTGTTATAACACCAAGGTCAAGGGTTTGAATCCCCGTACTAGTCAGCTGCCAAAAACCAAAACAAAACTTTAATAGAAAAAGGGGGATCATTCCCACGTGCTTTTCCTAGAAACTATTATTCTGTTATTATAATGACATCTAATACTAATGAATACTTACTTTCTACCAGAAACTGTTCTAAATGCTTTATATGCATTAAATCATTCACAACAATTCTATGATGATGGTGCTACTGTTATCATTCCCATTTTAAATAAGAGGGCACTAAGGTTAAGTAATTTTCCTGAAGTCACATAGCTCATTAATGGCACAACCAGGATTCCAACTCAGGTGGTTTACATTCACATTCCATGCCCCAGAGTACCTTTTCAACTGCACCCACCACTAATGCCCTGCACAGACTGTTTCTGTGCCTCAGATATACTTCATCTACAAAATGGAAATAATAATAGTACCCACCTCATAGGTTTGCTGTGAGGATTAAATGATTTTATGCATGAAAAGTATTAAAATATTGTAAATACTTAATAAATGTCAGCTATTCTTGTTCAAAGTCCCTCAAACATTTTTTTCTCCAATTCTTTTTTGCCTCTGGGCATAGTGTAGCCTTCGTAAGATCTCTCTGTCCCAGTTTTACAAACTCTTTTCGTGATGTAGCTTAAATTCCTTTTCTGATACACTCCCTAGCACTTATCCTTTGCCCCCAAATTGTGAATTGTGTCCTTTTCTAAACCTTTTAATACATTGTCTGGAAATGTTGTGCCAGTTAATATTTAACATGGCTGGCTGGGCTGGCCAGGTAGCTTAGTTGGTTAGAGCATGTAGAGCAAGGTGTTGTAACACAAAGATCAAGGGTTTAGATCCCCATACCAGCCAGCTGCAAAAAAATTAAAAAGAAAATTAACATGGCCTAGTTCTTTATCTTTCTCCCTCTCTCTCTCTCTTTTTTTAACCTCCAGCTAAAAATAAATTCCTTGAGGACAGGCATAATTTCTGGTATTCCACATAGCCAAATTTGGTGCTTTGTGCATGGTAATGTTGGATTCTACAAGACTCAACATTGTGTTTGAAACAAATTTGCTAGTAAGTCTTTTTAAAAAAACTTTTTATTGTAAAGCAAAACATAGATGCAGAAAACCTCAAAAACGTGTATAGCTCCACCACCAGATCAAAAATTAGAATTTTGCTAGCCACCCCAGAAAACCTTTTGTGTGCAGTATTAGTCCATTTCTATGCTTATAATGAAATACCTGGAACTGGATAATTTATAAGAAAAATGAAATTTATTACTTACAGTTTCAGAAGCTTGGAAGTCCAAAGTCCAAGGAACACATCTGGTGGTGGCAAGAGTGACCCAGTGGTTTTACATTGCAAGATGGTAGAAGCAGAGAGAGCAGAGAGAGACTAACCTTCTTATTCACTCTCTTCTTAAAGCCTTCAGAACCATGCTCCTGACAACCATTATTAATCCATTCACTACGGCATGGTCCCACAATCCAATCACCTCTTCAAGGCACGCCTTTCAATTACCATAGTAGGATTTCCCATACTCCCAAAAGTCACAGTGGGGGCCAAGTTTCTAATACGTAAAACTTGAGGGACACAATTCAAGCTTCAATGAATTTGGGGGACATTCAATCCACTACATTCCATCTCTGGCCCCCCAAAACTCATGTCCTTTTTACAGGCAAAAACATTCATTTCATCCTCAAAGTCTTGTTTAAACTCAAAAGTCCAGGCTACAGCTCAGAAGAGGAGGAGAGACCTACGGAGTGCATGAAGGTGGGAGAAGCCACGATGAGAAAAAGAAAAAACAGCTCTGACCGTTTCGAGCCCTGGCCGCATCCAGGCTGGAGCTCCTAAGTGTGAGGAGCTGGACCGGCAAAAGCCACAGCTGTGCCCTTCAGAGGAAGTTGCTTGGTGGCAGCAGGAGAGAAGAGGGTTCTCGTGGACCCACATAGGACTGAGGAGCCACAACAAATGAAAAAAAGGAGCCACTCAGAGGCCAGTGAGTCATTGCAAGGGACCGAAGCATAGCCCATCCCATGGGAAGTGTTTGGAGCACAGGTGGTGGGGGAGACGGGTCCACTGGGAGAACACTGGGGCACAGCAAGGACAGCTGATCTGCCTCCCAATCAGCATAGGACCACTGAGAGGAGACTGGTCAGTAATATAGAATTGCATGGGGTGTAGTTTGATGAAAAGACTCAGGCCCAGACCAGAGTTTCTATGCAACCCAGGTGCAGTGGATTTCACTATAACCAGAAGTATAAAATCAACCATTAAAACCTGAACTGCACAAAAAGCCTTCTGCAGGGAATCAACAGCAAAGCAGCAATTTAGCTCAACCACAGAACTCAAGTACTGGTTCCCACAGGAAGTTCTCCCACTTTTGAAGTAAGCAAAGGACAAAAAATTGGTTCCAGCACAGAGTTTAAGTGGTGAGAACAGCAAATAATCCAACACAGAACTGAAAGAAAAAACAGAGTACTCATTGGGGCCCACCTGGGGTCCTGAGATATGGAGCTGAGGACCAGACCCTCTGCCCACAACCAGGCACACGGCCAGCACCACAGGG